ACAGCATCACACACGGTGGCCTTGAGTGAGCAGAGACCGGGGGATGAAGTGAGGAACGGCCGGAGGGCTAGAGTTAGCAGAGGTGGCGGATTCGACGAAGGAGCGTCCGGAGGGCTTGCGGCAACCACATGTGACGACCCCGGGCTGGACTCCGCTTCGTCCACGGTGAAAGCCGATCCGGCGATCCACAGCGCAAAGTTGTAGTATTTCCTCAGCAACCAGCACGGATCAGCTCTAGGCATGACGAAGCAGATATCGTCCTCTTTCGGAAGGCCAAACAAAGTAGTTTTGCTTTCACAACGAATCACACAGCGCATTCACAAAATGGCAGCAACAATACTACAGCCAGAATAAAAGTTACGCCGCCTTTCTTTGCGTGAACATTTGGGCGGCTTTATGCAAATCTTCTTACATAGTGACGTAGACATGTGGGGGCGTGTTCGAATGAGCCGTTTTAGGTAGGCGTGGCTGACCCTTAACTTTTATAAAGAATTTCTCTTTGGATTTGAGACTCTTTGCAACGTTACAGATCTTCTTTATGCGCCAAGAGCTTGTATCACTTCAAAGAGAAAGGAAAAATTGAAATCGCATCATATGACCCCTTTAACATAACTGTTTTCAACATTGATAATAATAAGCTATGTTACTTGAGCACCAAAATAAAATATTATGTGACACTGGAAATTCAGCTTTTCCATCACAGGAATAAATTACATTTTAAAATATAAAGTTATTTTTAAATTGCAATAATAATTCACGCATTACTGTTTTACCGTATTTGTTATCAAATAAATGTAATCTTGGTGAGCATAAGAAAAACGTTAATAGATCTTACTGACACCAAATTGTTGAATAGTAGTGTAAATGTTAAACTGTTCTTTAATTTTGGAATTGCGTGTTATAAATCTGCTCCTCGTTTTTTTTCTTTCTCTCTTCTTAGAGCTGGTTATATCTTAAAGGCTCCTACATGAAATGCAACAGGAATATGGAGGTAGCGTTCATGGTTTGCGCCATCAATCCGTCTCTAGATCTGCACACTGACAGCACAGAGTTACTCCAGCTCCAGCAAGTATGTCTTCAAATTAAATTTGTTTTAAACTTTCACCACAGCATCCTGTTTCCTGCATTATATTATATTATATTTCATCTCCGTGTTATGTACTGTTAACTGTAATTACGTTGGCATATACATTATGTAAACATGCATATTTATCTTTCTATTTTCATTCAGATCATTAATGCATTCTTTTTTTCTTGCAGAGGCTGTTATGGCTGCTGTATGATCGAGGGGATTTGGAGAGGTGTGACACATTTCTAATAAATCAGACAAATACAGAGCATGGATGTAACCCATGTGGTCTGATTACTGTATATAACTCTTTCTGAATGTTTGTTCTCTTGTATTGGGCGTGTTGAAGGTATCCTATGGCAATGGGCACTTTGGCCGACCTTGAAGATCAGGAACCAATGACTGGCAAGGAAAGCCCTCTCTCCATTCACCTAAAGGTATATGATTTTAGCTATATCAGAGATATTTACAAGGTTGACATTATTAAAGATCACTAATCTGTTTTTTTTTTTTTTATTCCAGGCTGTCGAGTCGGCTAAAAAATATTACAACAACGAGCACATATACCCTTTCATGTATCTAGCAGGGTATTATTATAGGCACAAAAATGTCCAAGAGGCTTTGGGTTCCTGGTCAGAGGCTGCTTCAGTAATGCAAGAGTAAGTCAAGCACCATAGAAATCTGAACATTAAAGGGGTCATATGATGCGATTTCAATTTTTCCTTTCTCTTTGGAGTGTTACAAGCTCTTGGTGCATAAAGAAGATCTGTAAAGTTGCAAAGACTAAAGTCTCAAATCCAAAGAGATATTCTTTATGAAAGTTAAGAGTCAGCCACGCCCCCCTAAAACGGCTCGTCCTAACACGCCCCCACATACCTACGTCACTATCTGGGAAGATTTGCATAATGCCGCCCAAATGTTCACGCAAAGAAAGAAGGCGTAACTTTTATTCTCGCCGTAGTATTGTTGCAGCCGCCGCCATTTTGTGAAGGCGCTGTGTGCTTCGTTGTGAAAGTGAAAAAAAGGACGATATCGCTTCGTCATGCCTAGAGCTGATCCGTGCTGGTCGCTGAGGAAATACTTCAACTTCGCGCTGTCGATCACCGGATCGGCTTTCACCGTGGACGAAGCGGAGTCCAGCCCGGGGTCGTCACATGTGGTTGCAGCAGGAATCCCAATATGGTAAGGGACGTAACATTTCCGTCACACGCTTGAGGAATTCGGCCAATCACAACGCACTGGATAGCTGGCCAATCAGAGCACACCTCGCTTTTTCAGACTGATGAGCTTTGTAAAAATCGCCAAAAGGCGGGGCATAGAGGAGAAACAATAATGTAATGTACAGGAAAATAATGTGTTTTTTGAACCTTAAACCGCATAAACACATTTCATTACATCAAATACACAAAATAATGTTCTTTTTAGCAGCATCATATGACCCCTTTAAATGATACAGAATTTTTCGTTGTGTCTGATGAAGTAATAATCAGACACAACTAAATAAATGTTCTCAAATTTAATTTTACTTCAACAGCAGGGGGCAGTGCTTATTTATTACTGTTGCATAAATTTTATTGCCAAATTAGCCCGCTTAAAACTTCTTAAATATAAATAAAGAGAGAGATTTATTTAAAAAGGCTAATCAATCTCTAAACATAGAATGTGTCTATTACTGCTGCACATTCATGATTAGATGGCAATACGATAACTTTTCAAGCCTCTTGACCGTTGTGTCTGATGAAGTAATAATCAGACAACTAAATAAATGTTCTCAAATTTAATTTTACTTCAACAGCAGGGGGCAGTGCTTATTTATTACTGTTGCATAAATTTTATTGCCAAATTAGCCCGCTTAAAACTTCTTAAATCTAAATAAAGAGAGAGATTTATTTAAAAAGGCTAATCAATCTCTAAACATAGAATGTGTCTATTACTGCTGCACATTCATGATTAGATGGCAATACGATAACTTTTCAAGCCTCTTGAATGTTCGTACTGAATGGAAAATGTGGCGTTTGCCAGCATTGTCTGTTTTGCCTCATGCTGTTTGTCTTTAGAAAGCTCGTTCCCTGTCTTACCCTTGGCATTGGCCCCTGTCAAGAGAGAAAATCTGTACTTTCCTCCCTCTAAACACAGTGCAGTGGACAGTACTAAAAATACTTTATTCTAATGTCCTGAAGGATGTCTGCACAAAGCATGCCTAGAACTACTGCTCACTCCCATCCACTTCCTTTTCCTGCTCTTCCTGTTTCCTCTTCCTTCATGACAACATTAGCTCCTACCCTCTGTCCTTCTGATGTGTTTTCATTTTGTTTGTGCTGCTTTGAACTATGACAGACTTGTTGCATTATAAACAATGTAATCATTGATAAAGTCTATCTATCTATCTATCTATCTATATATAAATGATTTTTTTTAATGGAATTGAATATTGCTTCAGTCAAGTCAAGAACAAAATGTAATATTTAATTCCATTACTTGTTTTTTCTTGGTCTATAGTTACAACTACTGCAGAGAGGATGAGGAGATCTATAAGGAGTTTTTTGACATCGCTAATGATGTCGTTCCCACCCTTCTTAAAGAGACAGCAGCTGGTGCTGAAAGTGGTGGCGAAGGGGCTGATGAAACGGAAAAGGAGGTCTTGTTTAGTTTTGCATAAAAAAATTAAAATAAATATAATTTAGAACAAAGTTGTAAACAATTCTTTCTTTTGTCCTCTATTCATGCTTTTACCTCAAAGGACCAGCCAAGACAGGTAGCTGCTTTGTCTGCCCTTCAGGACCCAGAATGCTTTGCTCACTTACTTCGGTTCTATGATGGTATTTGTAAATGGGAAGAAGGAAGTCCCACGCCAGTGCTTCATGTAGGCTGGGCCACCTACCTGGTTCAGTCCCTTAGTCGCTTTGATGCGCAGGTAAAATCCCTTCATTTTCTCCATTTCAGGTTTCATTAAAAGGGCATTTATTAACCACACTCTTTCTCAGATCAGGCAAAAAGTGTCAATCATCACCAAAGATGCAGAACCAGTGGATGACGATGACCAATCCAGTGAAGACCTGCGTGAGGGGCGTAGACGTGTCCCGAGGCGAGAATCCAAGTTAGATGAACAAGCAGGACCATCATCTCCATGTGCAGCATTGCCTGCTCAAAATCCAGTGCCCAAAAAGGTGGGTGGAGAAGGAGGACGCAGACGTTCCTCTGCTGGAACTCGAGGTAAAGAGTCTGATGGAAAAAATGAGCCCTCATCCCCAAGTCCCACACCTTCTCCTACCCAGCCACCCATAGTGCAGGGAGGGCCGGTGGTGGTTTTCCACAGTGAGAAGATGAAGGGTATGAAGGAGCTGCTCTCTGCGGCCAAGATCAACTCTAGTGCCATTAAACTGCAGCTCACGGCCCAGTCCCAAGTGCAGATGAAGAGACAGAAACCCACACCTTCTGGAGATTACACCTTGTCCTTCATGAAACGCCCTCGCAAAACTCTTTAAAATGACACATTTAGAGTGTTTTGTTTTTTTTCTTTTACATGTTCACCTGGAGTGAAGTTCATTCGTTTACTTGCAAATTGACTCTTATCAAATATTTTGATAAGCTGATGCTGAGTTGAATTAAAACTATTACAAGTTGGAGTCAGAAAACCTATCATGCACCAGCAATTATGCTTTTTTATTTTATAGTGTAAAGTAATTTTAATGATTTGCCTTAATTTTGTATTATTACAATAAGTTCTATTAGATAGAATCCAAATTACAACAAGCCAAAGTGATTCTCTTTTGTTTGATCAGGATTTTAGAAAAGATGCTATTTTATTTTCAGCTAACATTTTGTCTGCAATACAATGAACATGTATTTGCTTCACAAGTCTAATGTGTTGAAAATAAAATGCTGTTTTCAACCTATATACATGTAGGTCTTGCACTTGTTTTGTTATTGTCCACATAACTGCTGGGTTTCATATGTGGTCTCAAGGTTATAGAGTCAGTAAGTATCCTTTTGAAAAATGCTGTGCTTCAGTTAAAAAACTATTTTCTTGATTATGAAAGTGTTTTCCTCTAAATAAACAACTTGAACAGAATAAGTGTTTTTCTGCCGTTTATTTACTGTCACCCATGTTGTGAATTATTACTGTGTGTAAACAGTTGCGATGTGGTCGCCCATTGATGCAATGCGCAGGCGAAGAGTGAAGACCGCTCGTGGCTGCGAATCGGTTCTTTAGAATAGTTCACTTCAAAGAGCCTGTTCGAAAAGCATTTTTAAAGGTGATTCTTTTACGTCACAGGTCGCTGACATTCCGCCGTGCTCTGAACTTTCCAATGAAGCCACCATATGCAGACATGTATTGCGGTTTATTTTTGCGCTTCGTTTTGTTAAATGGTGTTTATTGCAATTCCACGTGCCCCGCTTCACATTAAACATGAAGGTCGAACCTTAGAACGTTTTCCATTTCCATTAAAAACTATTAAAGGTATTATTTTTTACTAAACATGTTTTTTTGTACGTTTAAATACAATTATATTTGTTATGACCAAATCGTATGTTGTGAATAGGACGTGTTCGAAAGGGACAATTCTCGTTTTCAACCAGTCAGCGAATCGCTGACTCGAGAACCGCTCGGACCTGTTCGGTCCTATTCGGTAATGAGTCGTTCGAACCAGTTTTGCGAGCCGATTCATTGAAAAGATACGACTCCAAAGAACAATTCGTTCACGAATCGGACATTGCTGATGCGAGTCTGCGGGTGCGCTAGTGTGAGAAGGACAGGCTGAAAGATTACAAGGCGAAGACCGTGATTGCCCTGATAAACTTGATGTGTACATCTTTTTCTTTTTTGCATTGCGTTATAATTAAATTAAATACGTTTTATTATTACATCTTTTGATGACAGCGCACCAGGATGAGATGAGTTTACTGCACATCAAACTGTGTGACAGCTGCTGTCATGAATAAGTGAAACATACAAAGAGCTGCGGGCATGAATACTATAGGAGTTTCATTTTTAGATCCCTTGGATGATTATGAGATTATTCATCTGATCGGGAGCGGCACTTATGGAGAAGTCTTTAAGGTGAGAAAGAAATTCAGTGTTTTTTTTTTTTATGCAAAGGTTATTTGGAAATTGCACGAAGTGTTTAAGCATGTATGTAATGTCTATGATTTAATGCGTCTTGTGCTGTCAAGTTTTCGGGGAAAAAAACTTTCGTTCTGGGAGACTAACACAAATTTACCAAAAAGGATTGAATGACTTGTCTGTATTGTATTACTGTACAAGGAGTGTATTACTTTGGACATGATATCCATGCCATGTTTTTAGACATCATAGTGCCATTAATATCAGAAGTACTAATACCATGAATATCTATGAGAACCATGATATGATTATCATTCAGCACCATGTTAAATGTCAAAGTACCATCTATGCAAAGGTTATTTGGAAATTGCACGAAGTGTTTAAGCATGTATGTAATATGATTTAATGCGTCTTGTGCTGTCAAGTTTTCGGGGAAAAAAACTTTCGTTCTGGGAGACTAACACAAATTTACCAAAAAGGATTGAATGACTTGTCTGTATTGTATTACTGTACAAGGAGTGTATTACTTTGGACATGATATCCATGCCATGTTTTTAGACATCATAGTGCCATTAATATCAGAAGTACTAATACCATGAATATCTATGAGAACCATGATATGATTATCATTCAGCACCATGTTAAATGTCAAAGTACCATCTGATACCATGTAAGGGGATCCTTGCTGATGTTGACATGATTTTCCTTTACTCCGTTGTTGTTGTTAATTTCCTTGTTTAGGCTGAATATTTCAAGAAGCCAGACCCATGATGTTAGTTGACAGACTGGATTGTTTAGTTTACTAGAATTCACAGCATGTGTGCGGAGAGACACGCTCTCCATCCAACACAATGAACTCAAACTGATGCACACAGACTGACATCCACATACTATTCATTTTTATTTTGTCTAAATGTCAATTTGTTAGGCCATCTAGGTATTTCCTCAACAAAATATGTAACTTCAACATGTTTTCAAAATACAAAACAGCCCTGTATAAAAGCCCGGATATAAAGTAGTTTGCGATTTTAAAGTAGAATAACATATGGTTGGCTCAGAAATTTGACTTGATTGAAGAGCAATCTTACTGGCACAACCACAACATTTGTGGAATGTTACAAATCTGGACTTTAAAACCATGTAGGCCTCCCTCAGGTGTGGTAATGTTCTTCTTCAAGAAGTTTGTAAGGTGTAAATATGTTGTTGGCTGTCTCTTTTATATACTGTATGTTTAATATGGAGGTTGTGTCACTCTTGTTTAGCAATCCCTAACACAGTCCACTTTATCATAATTCAGTGGGTGAGCCAACAACCCTTACAATGCCCATCTTACAATGCACAAAGAATCCTTTCTAGTGTCCTCTAGCTCTCTCAACTTGGACTAAAACTAAAATATTTCATACTGAGGATTCCCAGCTGCATTTGAACGAAACAGTTTGTTTTGCATTTGATGGACTTGTCAGGTCTGACTATGCCAACATAAAGAATAACAAGCTTTGGAGATTTCTGGTCAAAGTGTGGACAGATATCCAACCCGAGCCATTGTTCTTGGGTTGTGGCTGCGTTTTTTTCAGGTTGCAATGTTAAACCATTAAGAGAACGTTGCACTGTCGCTTTAGTCGTGACAGGAAGCTCTCTGGCATGCCAGGAAAAAACAACAGGAAGGCAGCTCAGTGAAGTTCCAGGTTTTGTCCAGAAATGCTCGATTTGTAATGTTTATGAGTAGCCGAAAGCAAAAATGGAGGTCCACCTTCCTGACTAACTTTTTTTGTCTGATGGTTTATATTAAGAATAGGCCCGATCATAAGTATTAAATAATCCGCTCTGTATTTATAGCACGTATTTAATGTGCATGAGTTGCCTATTTACCGCAGCAGTGTACACCAACATGGAATTTTGCTTAAAATTGACTTGCCCTCAGGCCATCCAATATGTACTTGAGTTTGTTTCTTCAATGGAACAAATTTGGAGAAATTCAGCATTACATCACTTGCTTACCAATGGATCCTCTGCAGTGAATGGGTGCCGTCAGAATGAGAGCCCAGACAGCTAATAAAAAACATCGCCGTACTCCACAAGCAATCCACACTAGTCCAGTTCATCAATTAACGTCTTGTGAAGTGAAAAACTGCATGCTTGTAAGAAACAAAATCTATCAATAAAGCATTTTAACGTTACTCTGTCACTTCTGTCGAAAATACCAGTCTATAATATTTGTTTAGAACTGTTTAAAGCTGTTTTCACTTGTAAACGGTGCTTGATCTGTGCATATTTCTTTCTTGATTCAGACGAGACAACTTTTTCATTGGAGGAAGCAATATTATGCAGTTTGAAGTCAAAAGTGTGGATTTGTTCATTACAAATATGCATGCAGCTTTTCGCTTCACAAGAGGTTAATTGATAGACTGGAGTCATGTGGATTACTTGTAGATTATTGTGATGTTTTTATCAGCTGTTTGGACTCTCATTCTGACGGCACCCATTCACTGCAGATGATCTATTGGTGAGCAAGTGATGTAATGCTGAATTTCTCCAAATATGTTCCCATTAAAGAAACAGACTCTTCCACATATTGGATGTACACTGAGTACATTCTCAGCAAATTTTCCTTTTTTTGGGTGAACTATTCTTTTAATTCCACAGCTTTATGAATTTGATTCACCTGGACTTCACCTTGGCAAGGGGTATTAGTGGTAGTAGTTATAGAAAATTGATAGAATCCTTCCTAGATGGAATGAGTGATTAACAAATGGTGCAGCATCATACAGTCTAGAAAGATGAAGAACGTCAGCTCCCAGCAGTAGCTACAGGACAAGGTTACAGTCAAGGACGCAGCAGGCTGCCACTGACACTAGGATATTTGTCATTAAGATGCCTGCCAGGAGAGCTGGATCTGTTCCTGGCTTTTCTACAGCATCCCGAGCATTTCACCAAAGTAAACATGGCCTTAAAGTCGCATTTACTCACCTCTATGTTACATTTAATACATTTTAAAATATATTATAATAGGAAACAGTTATTTTATATTGTAATAATAATTCATATTATTACAGTTTTTACTATATTTTTGATCAAATAAATGCAGCCTTGGTAAGCACAAGAGACTTCTCTCAAAAGCATTTGAATGGTATAGACATATTAATATAAAATTTGTGCACAGTAGAGACTTCTCTCAAAAAAAATCTTAACAACCCCAAGCATTTGAATGGTATAGACATATTAATATAAAATTTGTGCACAGTCACAGATGCATGTACTGTATATCAAGAGTTATAAGTATCCATTTTTTAGTTAATATTGTTGTAAAAGGCAAAGTGCAATCTGATTTTCCAGTTCATCATGCAATATAATGTACTTTCTTTCAGGCTAGAAACATTAGGAGCTCAGAAATGGCTGCTATCAAAATTGTTAAACTGGATCCAGGTGTGTGAGTAGTTTTAATGTGATAAGTTTTTGACCAGAGCACATTTACATATTGGGAGATTTTCATGCATTAGTGCTGTAGAGAACATACAGTAAACATTTAGAGGCATATGCTGTTTCTAACTAATCTCTCAAAATTATAGGGGTTTTATTGGATCGATTCCTTGTATGAAGGATTTATATTATGATGAGCTCTACAGTTACACATAATTATAGTTCTCAAAAGCCTCCCTGACATGCACTACTACTACTTTAAAAATGATTGGACTGCATTGTGTCACATGAAAAGTTATTTTTACACGGCTCTCTGGAATAGTTGTTTCAGATTTGTCAATCACTGCATTCTGAAGTAAAATACCTTAAATATTTTGTGATTATGGGCAATTTGTTTGTTCAGTATACACTCTTTTTCTCATTCGCTCAATGCTTTTTCAGGTGATGACATCACCTCCATCCAGCAGGAGATAACAATGATGAAGGAGTGTAAGCATAAGAACATTGTGGCCTATTATGGCACTTACCACAGGTACAGTAATGTTTGTGCCTTGCCTGGTATTTCTCCAGTAGTTGTCAGGGCATAGAAAGGTGCATTCTACAACATGTTTTATACCCCTACAGGCAGTTACACAATCAGATATGAAGCACAAATCACCCAGACATGTTTAATAGAATTTATAAATAGCTGCCGAGGTGTGTCAGCAGATGACTTGTGCATTCCCGAATATTATTTCAAAGGCATGCATTCCTACTTACAAGCTTTCAAAATGTTTGAGATTCTTGTCATGTTTGTAAGCTATGTGTGTGCGCATATGTATCAGATATATACATATTCTACACTTGGTTTTAGACACGGATGTCTGAAGCTGCACATTTTGGATTATTGTATCCCTCTCTCTCTTTCTCTCTCTGTCTGTCTCTGTCTCTCTCTCTCTCTGTAGCTGATTTTGGGGTTGCGGCTGAGGTCAGTGTCTCTGTTGCCAAGAGGAAGTCCTTCATAGGAACTCCCTACTGGTGAGCCGTCTGCACAGATTTTTGCCCCGATATATACATATTCTGCACTTGGTTTTAGACACAGACGTCTGAAGCTGCACATTTTGGATTATTGTATCCCTCTCTCTTTCTCTCTCTGTCTGTCTCTGTCTCTCTCTCTCTCTGTAGCTGATTTTGGGGTTGCGGCTGAGATCAGTGTCTCTGTTGCCAAGAGGAAGTCCTTCATAGGAACTCCCTACTGGTGAGCCGTCTGCACAGATTTTTGCCCTTGAGTCCTGCAGAATCACACTGTCTGGATTGTCTTGTTTTAAAACAGTTAGCACGCTGTCTCTTATGATTAGTACAAAGTACGGTGGCCGTGAAGTGCAAAACAAATCACAATTCTGAAAAAAGTAGCTCATTTTAAATGCATTGTATGAATTGCCCTTACTATGGAATAAAAAATACAGAGTGTATGTTTACATTTAGTTAAAAGTGGCTGTAAAACATCAGCTCAAGTGGTGCAGGTGGATAAGTGCGTGTCTTTGGCTTTTTGACGCAATCGACCCTGGTTCAATCCCGCATTTTGCCGAACTTTTTTTCCCTCCCTTTTCAAATCTCGTATTAGCAATGGATTCTATTTACACTAAGTGAAAATAGCAGTATTTTTAGCAATATGCTATTTACACTAAGTGCAAATACCTATTTACACTATGTTAAAATAGCAGGATTTCTATAACAGCAGAGTCATGGTAGAAAGTTCGAAGATGGTATTAAAGTAGCTCATTTTAAATGTATTGTATGAATTGCCCTTACTATGGAATTAAAAATACAGAGTGTATGTTTACATTTAGTTAAAAGTGGCTGTAAAACATCAGCTCAAGTGGTGCAGGTGGATAAGTGCGTGTCGTTGGCTTTTTGACGCGATCGACAGGGGTTCGATCCCGCCTTTTGCAGAACTTTTTTTCTCTCCCTTTTCAAATCTCGTATTAGCAATGGATTTGAGCTTTCAAATGACTTAAATTATTGAAATTTACTTTCAAATATACATGTCATCAAAAAGTATTTGTTCAAATAAGGTATACTTTTCATTATAAAGTATGTTTATAAAGAGAAGCACATGATTCAGGATTATTGGGAAACTTTTCCCTAATTTATGAGGTCATTTAATTCTTTTTCCAAATATGCATGTCAGAGTTCAGTTTGTCAAAGTGTACAGTTTTTTTTAGTGGCAATATTTGTGTGTGTGTTATAGGCAAGTGATTCAGCCCCAGATACAATCCAGTCTAAAGGGAAACATATGCCAGTAGAGAGAAGTTTATCAGAAGAACAATGTAAGTTCTGGTTAACACTGTCCTTACTTGCAGCGGAAACTGAATATAAACATTTACACTTAACATACTATTAGCATATTACAATACACACTATTCAGTCCTAATTTTTTATATACATTTTTTAATATCATCTGTATCAGCCAATATTTTTTTATATCCTATATAAAATATCCATCCTATGTTCTATTCTATTTTTCTTTTTCCTTTTTTAAAATTGTATTTTTTTTAAGGACATTTTATTTGGTCAATTTGGACAACATTTGGTAAAATATGTATTATTTAAATATTATATGCATCTTATTTGCTATCATTAAATTGTATTTTATGTAAGGAATAATTCACGGCTAGCTGTGCATTAAACGATTTTATTGCATGACGTGGAGGCAAAGAACCACCCGACACGAAGCGCGGGGCAGCGTAGACAACAAGTTTCTGTGCTCATGAATGTTTCTGTGTGTGCGCAGCACGATCTCTGATCTCTGTGTGCAAGTGATGTGTGCTTGTGCATCAATGAAATTGATTAAACTGACTTGGAACTACAGTACCTGTGCATTAAACGGTTTTAATGTACACCTGCTAGCCAATCAGAATCAAGTATTCAGACAGACCATGGTATAAACTTTGTTATACTTTACATTATACCAGAATCAGTCATTAAAAATGTATGATACGCAATCATTTATTATCTGTAGAAATGAGTAGTGAACACATTTTTGGCTTATAATGTTTCTTCATTATATGCATTCATCTTTCCGTTTTCTGAAGTTCACTGTCACTCCAATGTCAGAGCCATGTCTATTTTCATTGCAGCGTGTGCATGATTAGAAAGTTTAATATATGGATGTGTAGCAGAGGAGGTGCTGCTTTAACAAGGCTGCTATTGAGCATAGCTTCAGTGATGTCAATAGGCACACAACTCATAGAGCTGGTACTGTTTAGCACACGTCTATGGCATGTCCTTCTCATCCCCCTCACACACTCACTCGCGTGAACTGGATCCAGTGGTCACATTCGAGGCCAAGCGGAGAGTGTGATGAGTGTGTGTGTGTTATCGTGTGGCAAGTCGATGCCACTTTTACTGAGAATCCATTGTCAGGCATCTTGACTGTAAGATTACAGCATTCACAGGCAGACGAATCAGGCAGACAGACAATGAAGCTTCTTTAGGGCAGATGAGGAAGTGATGTTCAAACTACTGTATGAAGTTCTTGGAGGTCTCACATATATGCAACCAACAAGAACACCGTAGAAATCACATTCTAACATGTTAAAAAACGTATGATCACTGAATATCGATTAATATTGTACAGATTTATGAATGTTTACACTACTATTCAAAAGGGGTCAGTCATTTTTTCTTCATTTTATTTCATTAAGAAAAGAATACTTTAATTCAGCAAAAAATGCATTAATTAGTATTTCAAATAAATGGTGTTCTTTTGAACTTTCTATTCATCAAATAATTCTGGAAGAAAATGTATCACAGTTTCCACAAATATATTAAGCAGCAGAACTGTTTTCAACATTTATAATAAGAAATGTTTCTTGAGCACCAAATCAGCATATTAGAATGATTTCCGAAGTACCATGTGACACTGAAGACGGGAGGAATGATGCTTAAAATTCAGCTTTGCCATTGCAGGAATAAATTACATTTTAAAATATAATAAAATAGAAAACAATTATTTAAAATTTTTATAATATTTCACAATATTGCTGTTTTACTGTATTTTTGATCAAATAAATGCAGGCAATGTTAGCATAAGATACTTTTTTCCAAAAAAATTAAAAATCTTACTGACCCCAAACTTTTGAATGGTACAAATATGTAAATGAAGAATACAAATGTGTAATATGGGTTTGTTGTTTGTTTCAGTTGACCAGGTTAAGTTTACCGCTCCCAGGAGAAAAGAGACTGAACCATATCCTGACCTGGTCAGTTTTATTGGACTCTCTTAGTGAGGTTCTCTTTAAGCCAATGAGGCAAAGAAAACACAAACCACATCCTGTCACACGTCATAAAGTACTCTGTGTCATAACTCATGGTTATCACTCAGAAAAAAAAGAATTAAGTATGTTTATGTTCTCAGGGATCGTGTGATGATTGGAGCATATCTGGAGATGAACCAGAGTCACCGTGAGTGTTGATTGATGTGGATTATAATTTCACTACAGATTTAAACAGTTATTATAACCTTTAATTTAAACTATATTCATTGCTGCAGGGGTCTTTTGGAAAGAGTGGAGGAGGAGTTACAGCATAGGTGGGACATGCTTATATTCTGACGCCACCTTGTGGAGTGACATCTAATGCAAGAAAAAACTAAATAAAAACAACTATATCAGCTAAAAGTGAAATTATGCATTGATTATTATATTTTTTGTTATATGTGTGTATAAGCATAGTGTTAAATAGTTATTCTACTTTCCTTCTTTTTTTTAAACAATTATTACAATTACAATTTGAACTGCCTTTCTCTTTCAGGAGCTTGACAGTGAAAAGACACTCATATTTTGAGGTATTTCATAACCTGTCCTAATGATTAATTTATGATTCTATAAAACATTATGCAAGGCTGTAAACCTTTTCTGATGTTTCATAGTGGAGTAAGAGGAAAAGTGGACTGTTCAGCCCACCACCTGTCTCTGCAACAACATCACTTCCTCCCATGAGTTCTTTAGACTCTAATCTGGAGGACAAGGACCTTACGCTTCGACCCAGTGCTACTTTATGCCCTGAAACTGTATTAAGTCCAAAATCAGGTATTACTATCTGCACATGCAGGACACATAGGAAATTCACCATACAAAGTTGTAAAACATTTCTCTCTTTGTGTTTTGTCAGCGTTGTTGAGGTGTTCAGGCAGTCAGGATGTGCGGCACTGGTGCAGTGACCCTTATGTTCCTGATGGTAATGACACACAGGACAAACAGAGGACTCTTACAAGGACTTTGAGCAGAGACACGGCTCTTTCTCCAGAGTGGAGCACCATGAGGAAGAAAACAGAGGACTCTGTGAGTTACACAATGTTGGAAGTTACAAATAACAGACTTACACTTATGTGTGCTTGTATCCCACACTTTAATACATCTCAGCTACATTAATGCCCTTTTATCAAACACAGTGTCAGATATAAAGAACTGATTCACATGCATTCCTTCTGCAGATTTGGTCTAATTTAGTATGGCTAGATGTCTAAATATATCAACATATAGTTTAATTAATTGGTTGAAACAAGTAGTTTAACAAGTAGTTTAATTAATTGGTTGAAACATTATTAGATCAAATATTTTGGTGTTATTTCATTATATCTTGCACATTATGGGGAAGTCGTGGCCTAATGGTTAGAGAGTTGGACTCATAACCCAAAGGTTGTGGGTTCGAGTCTCGTACCGGCAGGGATTGTAGGTGGGGGGGGGGAATGTACCCCAAAACCCCCAACTGCTCCCCGGGCGCCGCAGCATAAATGGCTGCCCACTGCTCCGGGTGTGTGTTCACGGTTTGTGTGTGTTCACTGCTGTGTGTGTGCACTTTGGATGGGTAAATGCAGAGCACTAATTCTGAGTATGGGTCACCATACTTGGCCACATGTCACTTCACTTTTTTTTAACTTTTTTTATTTGGTTAGCGTAGTGCTAGATGTTTCAGCACCATGGACAGATCTCAAAAACCCACTACATATTATGTTATTTAATACACATTGTGTATGTTTTTCTGAGTCACTAAAAGTATTACTGACAGACTAAAATATATAGAAACTGTTCCTTGTATTTTTTAACCATTAATTCACAGAGAGCAGATTCTCACGGACTTCCTCCCACTCCCCAAGTCTATGTAAGTTTAACCACCTAATAGCACCTTTTAAATGTGTTAAACCTGGCTATTACTAAATTAGAGTGTGACAATTTGCATAATAATTAATGACTAGTTTGTCATTAATGTAATTTTCTTAATTTACATCCGGTGTACTGTATTTATGAAACATTGCATAATTCAATTTGCATAGATGGGGGCCTGTTTTACTAAAGTCTTTAATGGATGTCCCCTGAAAATTCATTGTGCAGAGACATGGATTTTGCCCAAAACAAGAGGTACAGTTTTTCTTCCATCCTACTGATGCAGAATTTTAATGAAAATGTAATTTAAATATAGATTGAAAAACTTTCCAGCATCAGTAATACAGAATCAGAGTATTGCTGAATTCTGTTTGATTTCTCAATCCGTTCCTCACAGATCAATATTTAATTCTGGGTGCAGAGGAGGGTGTTTATATCCTTAACTTAAATGAACTGCATGAAGACACTTTAGAAAAGGTACTGCTGGCTACTGCATCTGTGTGTATGACAACATTATGATTTAGTATTTTGACTCAATAACTGTTTGTGTCATAAAATACAACACAAGAATAAAATCTTATTATTAATGATTAATATGTATTTACCTCCTGATCTCTATTGCAGTTGCTTCCACAGAGATGTACTTGGCTTTACGTCATGAACAATGTCTTAATGTCCATCTCTGGTATGTAACATTTTTACAGATGTTGTGATGTGATACCAGTAACAGCCCACCAGTTTTAGAAATTACATGCTCAGAAATTACAAACTGTGTTATTCAAAAAAAAATAACACAGTTATTTACTTTAAAAAAAAAAAAAGATTAAAGTACTACAGTTTTTCCTCAAGTTGATAAGACACTAAAATGCCAATTTCTTAAACCATAATGCCATTCTGTAAAATAAATACGAATTTCTCTAAGTTATGCACATAAGTTGCAAATGTGTTTATTCCAAATTCTCAAAACGTACATCGTGGTCAAGTAGAAATCCGTTATGTATTATGGATATTATCAAAATCCAAACATCCATTAGATTAAAGATTAAACACAATATTTTTAAATAGACATCTTTATTTTAAAAGTTTATTTGAGATTTGTATAAATAAATGTATAGTTACAGGAAATTGAGAAAAACTGTACATCTAATGTACTCCTCAGTGGTCTGTAAACTTCTATTCTATTCTATTCTTAGGTAAGTCGTCTCATCTCTACTCTCATAGACTGACAGCTCTGTTTGAACAGCGAGGGCATTTACAGAGGAAACAGGGTCACATGTCCCTCGGCACCAACCGCTTCACGGAACGGATCATCCACAGGTCACAGAAACACATAAAAGTTTAATAATTCAGCTTATATGTTGTTCAGTTGGAACTCAAAATAACCTTTTCACAGGAAGTTTGCCGTGTCAGTGAAGATTGCTGACACTAAGGGCAGTCGGAAGTGCAGTGTGGGTGAGGACCATTTGCTACGTCATAATAGATCAATGTTTATTCATTTTATCCTGATGAATGTCTTTGCTGACCTTCTGGTTAAGATGGAAAAATACTGAAAGCCATGTTTTCTTGATTTTTCTTCATCAGCTCGTAACCCTTACACAGACAGCACGTTCTTGTGTGCTGCAGTTCCCTCTGGTCTTGTGCTACTGTTGTGGTATGAACCGCTGCAGAAGTTCATGCATCTCAAGGTAATAATAGTGATCCTATAAAACCTACTATATCATATTTGATACATTTCTAAGACCTCTAAATTATCAACAATTAAAACTTTGCTGAGAACCCTGTACACACTCTTTTGCATATCTCCTGTCATCTGATTTATAATTTGTATTTTTTAGCAAATAAAAGGCCCTTTCCATCTTTGGGTTGTGGTTCACATATCTTTTTGGCAAGAAATCTATAACGATTTTTATAAAGTAAACAAGAATAAATTTTATATTGTTAGTAATATTTCAAGATGAACACTTGCTGGACTGAAGCAACTTAGATTTACTTTATTATCCATACATCATTTGTAAAAAAAAAAAATATATAAAAATATGAACATCAAATATGATAAGACAGACTTTTGAGGAACTTGTACATCTATCAATCATCATAGTATTACATTATATGTTTTGACCTTCATTAAAAGCAATCAGATTAAAATCAGAATAGGCGATAAAAATATCAGCAGCTGCACCAAATTGCATATTTTTGCTCTATTTGAGTGTTTTTTCCTCCTTTAGTATGAGCACCGTATTCTCCTATATCACACTATATGAGCCATAAAAGTCTAATGTATCAAATATGATACTAAAAAAAAAAACATTAATTTTTTAAGATTTTATCTAAAAGTTATCAACAAACTGTGCCATTTCCAATAACATTTCTGACTATTATTTCATATGTCAAACTTTACAGGGTTAATAGACTCACTTTTCTAATGAAACATTAACTTTATTTTAATTGTTTAATTTACAGTTATAATATATGGCAATTTTATTTACAAGTAAATACCTTTATTTCTACCAAACAAACAATATTATGCTTTCCCTAACAAGTGCCTGTGTAACATCTGGTAGTCGTTCTCTCATTATATTTCTCCTTTCTTATCGTCTTCTCATTGAAGCACATTGCCGTGCCCCTGCCGGACCCATTGCCCATCTTTGAGCTGCTGGTGTTAATGACAGATGAGCTTCCTCAGCTCTGTGTGGGTGTCCAGGAAAGCCTCCAACAGCAAAACGAACGACAGCTAAAGTTTGACATCATCCATCTGAATGGCACGACAAACCCTCAGCAAGGTAAGTGACTGACTGACTGCTGGTCTTGCATGAATTCAGGGCTGAAGAATTTCACAGCAAACATCATATTAAAACCCATTCCTATGAACTCAACAGATTTCCCCCCTCACAATCAGTAAAGAAAATATGAAAAACATGCACATTTTGTATGGGCCTACTGTGTTTTATTCACTGAAACGTGTATGAATGTGTGATCTTTGTGTCTTTCCTTAGACTGTGAGACAATAAGAGCTGTACAAGTGACACAGCTGGACAGAGACACAGTGTTAATTGCACTGGAAAGTATGTATGATTTATATGTATGATTAATAAATGAATCAACTTCTAAAGCATGCACTGATACTTATATTGTAAATGAATCCTCTTGTCATCTTCTAGAAACAGTGAAGATTGTCAATATGCAGGGTGTCCCCAGCAAGGAGTTAGCATCTGAACTGGAGTTTGACTTCCCTATCGAAACTTTAGGTACAAACCTGACAAGATATTATAATACAGTATTTGTTCACAATGAAATAATACAGTGATTTATACAACCGGAATAAGTTTTCATGTGCTGTTTTTCAACAGTTTGTTTAGAAGAAAGTGTTTTAGCTTTCTGGAGACATGGGCTTAAAGGACTTAGTCTTCACAACTGTGAGGTAAAGAGTTCTGATTTTTTTTGTGCATTTTAATAGACGTCAGTCAGGGTAGCGCTGTATTTAATTGTAGACAGAAATGAAAACGATGCTGTGGACTGCACTGTTTTTTCACACCATAATGATTGTTCAGTTGATGAAATGTCTGTCTGAAAAAAAGCTTTCAATAGACAAAAACTCCATAAACCATTTTTGAAAGTTGTGAGTTGTGAAAGCTTTATACAGTGCATGCCTTTATGAAAACTGTAAATCTACTCCTCACAGCCTCGGTTTCATTCCTGTCAAAAATTAAAAATGGCATCTAACCTGACATATGTCAATTTCTGTATCAGTACATGTTGTCATCATTTGTTGTTTTTTAAGGGGAGACACTGCAGGCCAAAAACAAAGTTTCAGATTTTGGGCTTTTTGGTTTTTCATAAAGTGTTTTTTCAGACTAGTGGAAAGAAAACATCCAAAAGACACTGTTAAGTGTTTCTTTTATAGCACTTTATCTATTTGTGTCAATAGATTTCAATTACAATATATATTTTTAAAGGCCGTTTTCTCAAAATGAGTTTTTTCTCCTACACTGAGCCATAAATCTCCACTTCAGTAGCACTTACACACACCAAACTTTACATTTTTATTCCTGTCTGTCTATATTCTGAAGGTTTTTACAGAGGGATTTGTTCATATATAATTTGCTTTATTATATACAACATTTTATTCCCCCCAAAAATGTGAAAATATAATGTTTTCTGTCCGTTCTAAGCATTTTCTGAATTATGGAGTGACAAAAATGAGATACCCAAAATTCCCTGTAAAAACTTTTGACGCTAATGTCAAAAAAATTAAACAAGAATTTTGAAACTGACATCATCCAGTGTTTAGATTTTTGTAGTAGAAATGTATGCAAATTAGCGCATGTTTCCTTAAATAATGACTCATTTGCATATTTAAACCTAACATTTTAGAAAACTTGTAATACAAAAAATGTTTCCAATTATCAATGTAATCAATCAGCTGAGTAATTCGATAACTATTATTTTTTTTTTACCCTATTCACCTGCAGTGTCTCGCCTTAATAGTTGATAAATTTACTGTGGATTAAGATCTAAACTCATCCTCATGTGTCCTTGCAGATAACACAGGAAATCTCAGACAAAAGCCGTCAGTTTAAAGTTTTAGGCACGCACAGGTATTGACTTTCTTCCACCACCTTTCATCGTTTTTCCTTTTAACTTGAATAAAAATTGCATTTCATTCTTCTTAATGTCTTTTCTCCCCAATCTTGGTTTACAGAGACATTGTTTTGCAAAGCACCCCAACTGAAAACCCTTCAGCCACTAGCAATTTATATATTTTAACAGGTCACGAGAGCAGCTACTGAGGAAAGCCAGTGGACAGAAACTGTAAATAACATGCATGACAACATGATGGGGGTTTGAGAGCCAGAATGCATGACAACTCTTAATACAGAGGCTTTCAGAGCTGTGCATCTGCCCTATGTGTCTGTGCGAACACGGTCCTTCAGTCGATCTCACTGGTACACATTGTGAGGGTACAGAAAGGAAAACCCAAAGCCTTGGCTCTTTTATTTGTCCCCCTAAAGGTGTTTTTGTCATTGTTGTCTATGAATTCTTGTATGAAATAATCTGGATTAAACAATTGTATTTAAATTAAAAAGATCATGTGATAATTTTGTGATGGAAAGATTGTGATAACTACTAATAAACTGATACAGTGAATCCAAACTGAACCAGACTCTTTTAATAATCACATCCTGATTCGGTTTTTAGTAAAGAGTAGGAAAATAACAGATGGGTTTGTATAGGTTTACAGGACAGTGTGGAAATAAGATGAAATTCAGTTCATCCTTCCCTGTTAAATGCTCTGTATTGTTGCTTAATTTTTAATCACTGAGTCAATCCTCAAGAGGGAGCTAAAGCTTAAAAAATCGAAACCGTTGACATACCCCCCCCCCCCCAAATACACACAAATTTAGAATTATATTAGATAATATTTTATAATATGTTAATATGATTATATATAAACAACCTAATAGTTCAATATAGCAGCAGATGTTTAATGCCATATTAAGGCCTCATGGGTTTGCTTGAGGTTATTTCTGAATAATAACCTAAATAAAAACTTTGTGTCTGTAGATATGTGGATTCTCATCTATGGGTGTGTTCTTTTTTTATAATAATAATAATAATACTCATTGTCAAGCTGTGAAGAAAATGTAGCTGCAGATTCAACTTTACATTTCTTACATATAGTCATTTATTTAAAAAGGTTGTAGTTTTGTTCCACATAGTCACATGTTTAATATGTGGTTGCCAGAAACACCTACTCACACTTGCAGTGCAAAAGAGGTCTGAATATGCAATGGTCTTCTGCTTACTTTTCCGATGAATTAACACTGTGGTCGTGAAACATTTCAGAGGCAGTGTTACACCTATGACTATAAAAAAAAAAATGCGTCTGCACTTTCACTCACATGTACACACAGGATGTATATCTGTCCCACTGTGACCTGTTTCTCTAAGATTACTAAATATGGTGCTAATGTGGTCGATAGTCGTTTCTGATGACCATCTTTAGAAAAACAAGAAAACCACAAACTGTTTTCACACAAGCAGCACTTCATCAAAACAAAAACTTTTAGATTTGTGGCAAGTTCACATTCTGTGATCTTATGCATTATGTGTAGTCCATGATTTATCTCAAACATTAGAGGTATAAAATATATAACATTGAAAGAGAATATAGGTAGTATTTTTACTGTCAGTTTTCATTTCAAAGTACAAAAAATAACAAAACGATTTAGACTTGAACTTTAGAGTTGATTCCACTTAGGTTCAAATACATAAGATTTTGCCATCATTGAATAGCTACACATATATGTATCGCGAACCTTTGATATAATCTATTACGACATAAAAAGGCTCATTGAACTACTTTTTGTAAGTTAAATTGGGAATTCTGTAATTGTCTCTGTTTCATTGAAAATCTGGAGACTGACATGTCTAAAATGTGATATGAAACACTGACGCCTTCACAAACTAATCTTGCTGCCTTTACATTTGACTATGGCCAGGAGCAGAGCAATATTGCTCCACAAAACCACATTTTTTGCATGCTTTGACTGCCTTTTATTACAGACAATAGTGACAGTCATTGATCATCACCCCATATCTTTAGTAACACTTTTGCTTCAATTTGGGAGTGGAGTGAGAGATACCAGATTGATTTCAACCAATCACAGTCTTGGTTTGAAAGTGTCCAATCACATCCCATGCAAGTCTTCTAAAAAGCATTTTACACATTCATTGCTTCAAACATGATCATTTGGGCCATTTTGATCTTTTGGGCTCGTAAGTAGAATTTTTTCTCTCTTTCCACTGTTATAAATATGTATTTATTTATTTGGTCAATTCCAAGCATGCATACACATTTAGTGTTAAAAATGAAATCTCTTTTCTGTTTCAGCTGGAGGTCAACCTGATAACAGTGGTGAAATTGTCTCATTGCAAACATTCCAGCTGGGAGATGATGTTACAGTCAAATGTTTCTTGACAAAAAAAAGTTTTGACAACACAATGGTTTGGTATAAACAGAGCACTGATCAGATTCCTCGTCTTATTGCATTAACACACAATTATTGGAAAGATATCCAAATTGAGAATGAATTTAAAGACGGGAGATTCGATATTTCAGCAAGTGAAGATTCTTTTCACCTCAACATCAAAGCTACAACCAAGGAGGACATCGGAAAATACTACTGTGGGACAGTTTTCTTGAATAAAATAGAATTTATTTCTGGAGCACATCTGATTCTAAAAGGTAAAATATATTCAACATGCTATTGTCTTATACATTTCTTTTTGGAGAAGACAATTTGAACTAATTTCTCTTGTTTGTAAGTAATTTAAAACCAACAGTCTAATACCTGACATATTTATTTGCTGCTTCTAAGGAAATGAGACCAAACACTTTAATGTGGGATGTGAGGAGAGAGAAGTTGAGAATAGAACCACTTTCAAAAATACTGGTAATTTTTTCATTTTAGTGCTATGACTTAACTACCTGATACCTGAGTCCTTTGCTACCTGATTTTTTTAACTGTCACCTCCACAACAGTGATTCCAAAAAGTATTTGTACCCTTAAGACACACTTAACATTGTATGAATTATATTGCATTTTACAAATTATACAACCAAGGAGCTTCAGCAAACATAACTGCACTTTTAAGCTATTTTTCCAGTTACTTTTAACCAACAGGTCTCAAAGTGTGTTTATCGAATGTATTAAGTCAGTTCTACTAAACAGGTGCAATCACATACCTATTGTTTTATCATTTAAAATGTAAATTTTTTTTGAGAAATGTTTTGCTTGAAAAGGGTGCTTGCACTGTTTCTTAAAATTAATGACACATGGTTTGATATTTTGTCAACAAATGCAATGACATTCAAACACTAAAAATATATGGCTTATATGTCCACATGTTCTTGACCACTATACTGTTGCAAGTCATGGAAAAGTATCTGCAGAGAACACAGATGTTCACAAATCTTTACTATTAGCAGCACGTTGTTGCTTTATTAATTTTTTTTCTCTATTTCAGATAACAATAATCCAAAAGTATGGGATCCTCTGTTACTTTGCTTGATATCCTGCAATGTTGTGTTTGTGATGGTAATAATCATACTTTTGGTTGATTATTATAAAAACTGGAGAAAAAGGCAAAAAGGTAAAATTCCACCCACAGTTTCCATTAGTTAAGCAGAGAATAATTGGATAGGATAGTGGTCTAAAGTTGTACACACTAATATCATAATATTATGTGCAAAACAATTTAAATATTCAATCACAAATATGTATATCAAAGTTTAACAATAATTTTCTGCACATTTTGAAGGATCTAAAAATGTAGCATCTCCGTCATATGAGGTAATTTCAATTTAAATCAGTTTCCTAATATATTCTTATATTAACTTCTAATGGCTCTCAAGCAGAAAGAAAAAAGAATCTATGCATTTTTTTTTTTTTACAGATTGGAGATTCAGATGTGAATTACGCGGCTGTGAATTTTGCCTCTGTCCCTCCGGCCAGAAGATCAAACAACAGACATCTAACTGAATACAGTGACGTGATCTACAAGCCAAGAAATCCCATGCTTTAACAGAGTTTCTTCACAAAATGATTTTGACTTGAAAAAGTAGATATTGAACTATATTGCTAAGAGCATCAATTACTGCAAATATAATACATCTTATACTCCAAAAAAACATTTATTTTTTTAGTTCTGTGGCTTGGTATTTAGAAATACTTTGTGTCTGTTAATGCTGATCAATTACATGAAAGATAATAAAAAGTTATAAACAACAGTAGAATCTGTTTAAACAACATAGTGGAAATATTTAGTTGAGGACAAAAATGATATTTATGAAATATACTATAACAGTGACTACTGCACTTGTGATTTTAACAACTGCATGACAAAAATAAAACAATGCATTTTCAAACTGCCTTAGTCACCTAATTATTAATTACTATCCTATTCAGGTTTGTCTAGTTCCTCATAGCTGGAAACACTTCCATAGTCTGATAAATGATGCCTCTGAAGCCAGCTTTCCACCTTAGCCGAATACATCTGTATATCATCTTCATCGACACGTGAGGACATCTCTGCTGTAAGGAAATAAAAACAAAGCTTTAGTTGTATAGCTTATATAGTTGACATATATATGTTCTTCTTTGCTGCAGCAAGGCATTTTCCAGCTTCATTTCATCAATCTTCTCCAGTAACTGATTTGGTTGGGTGTGATAATCTTTCATGCTCTCAAAAACATGATATCTGAACGAGTCTCACAAGTGCATACCTGTCACGTTTATGTTCTGTGTTTCTGTTCTCCCTGCCTTGACCTAGTTTTCCTGTGTTGCTTGATTAGTTCATTAGTTTCCATGTTCGTTAATCATCCTATTAGTCCATCGTTTGATTTAGTATTTATAGCCCTGCCTTTCCTCATTTTCTTTGTCCTGTCTTCGTCGTGTAAAGAGGTTGTTTTCGCCTATGTTCCCATGAAGATTTATTAAAGACTCTGTTCGTTTGACTATCTGCCTCCTTTGTACTCCTTCGTACTCCTTCGAGCTCCTTTCCCCTGGCAACACGTGACAGAAAACAGGACCAATGAAAAGGATGGACTGGGCTGAGGACGTTCTTCTAAACATCCAGCAGGATGGAAGGCATTTGGAGCAATATGTGGAGGAGTTCCTGAGTGTCTTCCATCTGGTGAGCTGGAGTGATCATATGCTTCCGGATGGGACTGGACGATGATCATTTTTTCAGATTCTTGTCTCCACATGATTGTTATAGCAGACTAGTTGACCCGTAGCAGACTTTATTAATTTTGTTCTAGATTTAAATTGCTCTAATTTCTTTGAAGTAAATTGATAACTGTTCAGTCCCTATCTGGAGGCATGTTGGCACTCCAGTTCACCATAAACCAGCACCCTCCACATACCGCTCCAATGAGCCCTCTCCCTCCGTTCCACCCCTGCTTTCCCGAGCCCATCCAAGATCCATTGCAGCCCTCAGCCCAGAAAAAGAGGCACCAGCACTCCCTCTAGAGTCTACTCCAGCGTGCCTCTCAGCGCTCCTGGATATGGCGCTACCCCCAGAGTTCTCGGCTCCTATCCTCTTGCCTGAGTCCGCTCCAGAAAACTCTTCTTT